GTATAGTCAACACTCGTCTCCAGCACCACAACTCAAAGGCATCAATTCTCTTTCTATCATCTCTATTCACTGTCCAACTCCCTGATGCATAGCATGTAATTGCAAAGACTATAGCCCAGATCAGGCGCACCTTAGTCTCCAGCCTGATGTCGTTGCTCTTCAGTACTCTTGAGAGGTCCCTCACAGCTGCCTTTTCCAATGCAATTCGTCTCCTGATTTCCTGGCTGCTGTTACCAAAAGTGTTGACTGTGGAGCAAAGTAAATTAAATAACTATCTCAATCTCTTCACCATCCATACTGATGCTGCCAATTGGCCCAATGGTGAGAATCTTTGTTTTCTTGATATTGAGCAGGTTGTTGATGATTCTTCCACCAATCCTGATGCCACATTCCTCCTCGTACAGCCCAGCGTCTCAGATGATCTATTCTGAATACAGATTGAAAAAGTATGGAGGCAAAGTATATCCCTGACGGAACCCTTTCTTGATTTTGAACCATCCAGTGTCTCCCTGCTCTGTTCTGACAACTGCCTCTTGGTCCAAATATAGGTTTCGCATAAGAACAATCAAATGTTCTGGGATCCCCATTCTTTTCAGAGTCAGCCATAGCTTGTTGTGATCCACATATTCAAATCCTTTGCCTAGTCAATGAAGCACAGATAGACATTTTTCTGGTATTCTCTACGTTCTGCCAAGATCCATCTTACATTAGCTATAATATCCCTAGTACCACGACCTCTTCTAAATCCAGCCTGCACATCTGGCAGTTCTCTGTTGACATATTCTTCCAAATATTTTTGGATAATTTTCAAAGCAGAATCGTGCTTGCATGTGCTATCAATGATATTGTTCGATAATTTCCACACTCTGTTGGGTCACCTTTCTTTGGAATGGGAACAAATATCAATCTCTTCCAGTCAGTTGGCCAGCTGGCTGTCCTCCAGATTTCCTGGCACAACTTAGTGAGCACATCCAGGACAGCGTCTGTTTGTTGAAATAAATCAATTGGTATGCAGTCAACTCCTGGAGACTTGTTTTTTGCCAATTCCTTCATAGCAACTTGAATTCCTCCTTTATCACCATGGGTTCTTGCTCAGATGCTAATTCATTAAATCCCTCTCTGTTAGCCAATTCCTTCTGATACAGTGACTCTGTGTAGTCCTTCCATCTTCTTTTTATACATCCTGGATCATTCAACCTTCTACCCAAACTATCTTTAAGTATTGCCACCCGTGGCTTGAATTTGTTTTTCCACTCCTTCAGCTTAACAAACGCTGAGCGATTTCGGCCCTTTTGATTTTCTGACTCCAGCTCATATACATATTTTTAATTGATACAATCCCTTATTAAAGCAGATTCTCTCACCAAAAAAAGAGAAAACCAACCAAAAAGAAACTTCCTCAAAGCAGATGAAAAATTTGAATCCTTAAAAATTAGTGTTCAAAAATCTCAACGAAAAAAGTATCACCATGGGAAGAAGAAAAAAAAAATACTTGACCCATTTGTCAAAATCACTTACAGCATTCTATTTCTTTTCCAAGTTCAAGTGCATTAATCAAATACAAAGCTTCAAAGGGGCTTCAGATTGAGTGACCCAACAGACAAATAAATTAGATGCCAATGGCTCCTTTGTAATTGAAGAGGGCTGGGGTGACCCAAAGGAAGAGAACTAAATCAAAAAGGAAAACTCTAAGCAAAAGCTGCCTTTAAGACCTGAAACACACCAGACACCTCTCCTTCCCACTCAACTCCAAGACTTTCTGGGCGCAAGCCAAGAGCATGTGTGTTTATTTACTAATAAGAAGATGCATGTTTTGCCCAACATCTGATTGATTTCTCATGTGCTACAATTAAAAAAAATGTTTGCGTCTGGAACACATATTTGAGTGCAGTGCTCCAGTGTGGCAGCCGATAAACCTGATCCCAAGGATTCTACCTCTGACCTGTGGGGAGGGAGGGGCGTGTTGGGAGGGAGTTGTTTCCCTCTCAAGCGGTAGAATTCTGAAAGGTTTTCTTTATTGCAAAGAAACATTGTTGAAGGTCTCTTCTTGAGGAACTGTCCGGTTTTCATTTGCAGCGCTTCTAACTGGTGACTCAGTCGAGGATGATGTCATATGTTATCCTACGATTGCTGGTGTGGCTCCCCTTTGCGCGCCTAGACCGTTTCCCTGTGTTTCTGTGGCAGACAGTCCTCCCCAGTTTTCATCCTGTCGTCAGCTTCTTCCCAGCCAGCCACAGGCAAGCGGCCCCACAGCAGTGGATGAAACAGGAAGTCTGACAGCTTGAGTCTGCAGCGGGACCCCTGGTGTGTTCCCACTCCATGTCCTGGCATCGTTCCCCAGAAGTACACACACACACACACACACACACACACACACACACACACAGAGCTCTCATTGTTGCAGCCCACTGATCCTAATATGGAATGCAGCAGGAAACCCATGATTTCCTGACACTCTGCAAGCTGGAGGAAGCAAAGGGGGAAAACTCCATTAAAAAGCCTAGCTTTCCTCCATGTTAGTTAGATGTGAAGTGGAAAATGGGGACAATTTAAGCCGAATCCTACTGTGTCCAGAACCAGCCTCGTGACGGGTCAAAAAGCAGGGGGAAGCCTGCTGAAATTTCCAGACTGCCAACAAACTCCTAGAACTCTCTGGAAAATGAGGGTTTCTTGACTGGGACTGACAGCAGCAGGGTCAGAAGCTTCTCTCAGTTTTCCCCCCTCTCAGTGTGTGCTGTGACCTTTCTTCACCAGGATGGTAAGCAAGAGGGCATGTGCCAGCTGCCTCGGCCACTTGTGTGTGAACCAAGGCGCACAAAGTCAGGCTGCGTGAACTCCAGCCTGGCTCTGGCTTCCCGCCGCTTCATGTGCCCTTGGAGAAGCAGGGGAAGCAGCCACAGCAGCAGCAACAGCAGCAGCAGCAGCAACAACAACAGGAGCCACAGCAGCTGGAGCCGCAAAAATGAACTGCAGAGAGGGAAATGACAACAGCTGCGCCTGCGGTGACAGCGAGGAGAGGAAGATGCTAAAGTGCGTGGTGGTGGGTGACGGCGCCGTGGGGAAAACATGTTTGCTGATGAGCTACGCCAACGACGCCTTTCCAGAGGAGTATGTGCCCACTGTGTTCGACCACTACGCAGGTAAGAAGGTGGGAGGCCTGTCCCTGCAGACAGGGGGAGCGAAGGGTGCCGAGGGGGCCTGGCTGATCTCTGTCATGACTGGGAGTGGGCCTGGCAGTACCCAGGTAGGCTGGCGTGACACAACCACAGAGCTGGCTAGATACCTTAGGGGAACAGTTTGGGAACCAGTGTGTATTCCACCTTTGTCTTTCTCTTAAATCAAATGAGTAACCCTGGGGAAATAACTGCAAGCATCTTCTATTTTGGCGCCAGAGATTTTAACTCAGAATGTGCCCTAAGATTTATCAACTTTTGACTGTGAACAGTGTTGTAAAAGTAGGGTGATTTATCACTATTCTTTCTTCAATAGAAAAAAAAAATTGCCCCTGGACACACAATTGGTGAAAGATGTATTCTTGCCACTTTTCATATATTCACCTCATGTCACTCATAAATGAAAATGTCGAGACTGATAAATATCAGAGCACTCATTTTCTCTAACTGGCCCTGGGAGTAATGTACTTTCATTTTACTGGTGGTGTAGGCGGAGGAGGGAAGAGTCTTAAAAGGGTTTAGATCTCCATTAGTTCACATCTGAATTTTAAGAAGATTAATTTCTGTCGAAAAAAGTAAAGATGAACATAAAATCTGAATTTATTTCCAAGTATGCCCCAAAAGGACAAAATCGTGCACAAAAGATTTCAAGTTACTGAAGTCTTTTAGATATGGTAGTCACGACTAAATTCTTCCAGTTGGCTTTTATTTCTGGAGTGTTCTGAAATTTGTAGTTGTTTTTGTTGGTATGATAACACTTTCTTGGTCTATGCTGGAGATTACTTTTCCTCTGAATTTCTAAAACAAACTTTATGGTTCCTCAAAAGCAAGTTGGTGAAATTCTCCAAGCTTACCCTCGCCAAAATTATAGAACTTTGTTGAACAAAGTGACTGATGGGAGAGATTTTAAGAGGTTGGAGGTTTTGTGAGAGGAACAATTCTTTCTCTCCTCCCTGGCTTTGAGTCAGGTTTAGTGAAGGGGAAATGGCCCACAGGAAACCTGTGTCCATGCTTGGTTTGGTGGCTGTTTAAAAGTCTCTTTCTTTAGGAAGTTGCTTCTTTTCCAGAGCTAAACAATCACCTCCCACCTCCCCCCAACTACATGTCCATGATTTATGACATTACTGCACAGCAGATAGAGGGGAAAACAGCAGTGAAAAGAGTAACCATTGCCTAGCAGGGTTTTTATCTATTTGCCAAAATTAGAGCAAATTTTAACACTGACTCTCTTAAGCAATTCTGAAAATATAATGCCGCTGCCCATAGAAGAATATTGCAATGAGGACAAATAAAGAACAGGTAGACTTTGATCATGAGAAGAAACAAACTCTATAATCAGTAGTTTGAGCCTTAATTATTTATTCTACAACCTTTTTTGTGTCACAAAAGGGAAGCCTAAAAAAAGCCAAAATTTTATTTCATGAACTTTTAGATCCAAGGTGAAATTCTGCACCGCCTAGAGCAGAGGTTTGAATACTTGTGAAAATTATGTATCCAAATCCCCCTGTGTGAGGAGACCTGTTACAGCATGAGTGTCAGGAAAAGAAGAAAGCCATCTTTAAAATCAGCCTATGGAGATGAAAATAAAATTCTAAATCAAACACAAGCTGGACTCCATGAAATCAAATTCTTTTCTATTTCAATCATCCTCGTGCTTGCAGTTGTTTGAGCATCAACATATCTTGAAGGTTTGTTATCCTATCAAATCATAGCCACTTTGCTCATTGAAGTGTCTGGGTGGTGTACAGGATTCATGCAATTAGCTGTTAACCTAGAGGTGGAAACCTCCTAAGGAGAAAAGCCCAAAGATTGCCTTCCCTCCAATTAGCCATTGAAAACCTTATGGAATACAATTCTACTCTGATCCACAGAGTTTCTCAGGATTCTGAGTTGACTCAATGGCAATAGTATTGGTAATACACTGTTGACACTCATCAACATTGTTGCTTTGACTTACACCTTATACCTCTTTCAAATCGTCTCCTGTGCTTTCATTAAAGTAAAAAGGGAACGAAAGCATGAACCATGTACATCTAGGATTTCAATGAAGTCATTCTTTCTATCAGCAATATGATCTTCTCCATCACAAACACTAGCTTCCCTCACCACCATCTTCCCTACATAGCATATAATGGAATGTAAATACTTAGGCAACCATGAGAATCCACAATCACTGAAATAAATAGAAATAAATGCCCTCTTCTCTCCTCTCCATCAGTACCCAATTCCTGAGGCCTCTTGGTTCACTATAAAAAAGAAACTAAAATTTTACTGCCTTTAAGTTGACTGCAGTCTGTAATGACCATCCACTAAGTTTCCCAGGCTATAAATCTTTACAAGAGGAGACTGCCTATCCTTTTCCCTCAGAGCTGCCAGTGTGTTTAAACAACTGACTTTTGGTTAGCAGCCAAACACATTTTATGCACCATACCTCCTGAGCTACATCCTAACCCATTCTCTGATGGTGTAGTCCATGAGGACTCGCGCTGCTCACCAGAAGGCCACAGCTTTCTAACAGTTTGCACTGGCTCCACTATGGCTCCGTGGGGGAAAGATGGGCAATCTTCCCTCCTGTGACTTCAACCTTGGAAACCAAATGGAGGATCAGCTATGAGTTAGTTCGATGCCAAGGCATCGACTGAGTCTTTGGGACATTGCCATTCAGCTCAAATATAGTATGGAAGACAACTTTCAGGCCCATTGCAAGAAATAATAAATATAATAATAAAGATATGGGTACAGCAAATTGTTCAATACGGCAAGTTTTAGACCCAAGTGTTTACACTAACTCTGTCACTTACCATGGGAGCTCAAGCAGGTTGCTACGCTTCTCTGTACCTCAGTTACCATACTTGAAAAGCAATAAAATGATCTATTTCATGGATTGTTTATAAAATATGAAATATATTTATTCACATGAAATTCTTAGAACAGTGTCCCACACATAAGCGTTAGGTATATGGTATCTAATATTATTAAGAATAAGATCTCTACATCTCTGAAAGAGACTTAAATTTAATTGGGGGACAAAGGTTTCATAGAAAAACATAATTCAAATAATAACTTCCAGATGAAATGGGATGTGATGGAGTACATGCATTTTCCTTGCAAAATAGTTGTTGTGTGCCATTGAGTCGCATGCAACTCATAGCAACCCTATGTACATTAGCTCTGAAACCTGCCCTATCCTGAGCCAATCTTACTCTAACAGACCTAATCCCATTTCTCCAGTCACTGAATCAATCCAACTCATCCTGCGTCTTCCTTTCCTGTGTGGTCCTTCCACCCTTCCAATCATGATGCCCTTCTCCAAGAACTGGTCCTCTTGGCCATGTGCTCAAAGTATGTGAGAGAGAGCTTCAAAATCCTTGCCTCCAGGGAGCCCGGTTTCACCATCTCCAGGACAGACCTGTACATTCTCCTGGTAATTGACAGATAAGCTTACATGAATTTATAATAGTGGAATAGTAACTTGAGAGACGAAACATTAGGTTTACATGGATAGCTATCGAAAAACCAGCAAGACTCTTTTAAAATATTTTAAGAATCTTGGTTATTATGTGTTCGTTCTACCTACCAGGATCTAAAAGTATACTTTCTCCATGTTACTTTCTTTGGCAATCCTAAAAAGAAGTCCTTCCTCCATCTTCAATCCATCCCCAGTAGTTTATTTGTATCTCTGGAATAAAACTTTCCTCATTGTATAAATACTATCGTTTTCTTTCTTTTCCCACCCCAACTAGGCTCTGAGCTCCTCAAGGAAGAATGATGTGACTTGCTAAAGCAAATTATCACTTCTCAGTCTTCATCTTTATTTATATCCTCTTTCATAGCTAGCCACTTCCTTTCTTGGAACATTTTTCCTCTTGCCTTCTGGAATACCATAGCACCCTCAATGGTAAATCATTCTCCATCTCTTTTGCTGTTTTCTCTCCAGCCACTAAATGTTTTTATACATCAGTATTCCATCTCTTCCCTATTTATTCACATCCTTGTTGATTACCTAATATTTATCCCCCAGAATCTCTTCAAAAAGCTTTTCATTAGCTTTTCTCTCTCTCCATCTCCCTTCCCTTGCCCCGGTATGCATACAAAAAAGTTACTCTTTAAAGCCTTTTATTGTGCCATGGCTTTCCTTATAGCAACGTATCACTCTCTGAAAATTTTGCTTGTAATTTTAGACATAAAATATTGGAATGTAAACATCATGAAGACAAGGCTTTTGTTCTAGTCACTGTTGTATATGTAGCTTCTTAAATAAAGCTTGGCACATGACAGAGTCTAAATAGATGTTTTGTTGTTGTGTGCCTTTAATTTAGAACCAACTCATAGCTGAACCCGCCAGCAGGTTTTCAGGGGCTGTAAATCACACAGGAGGACATTGTCCATCTTTCTCCTTCAAAGCAGCTGGTGGATGCAAACTACCTGTGTTTGGCTTGGCAATGCAACTCTTTACCACTGATTGTAAGAAAAGACTGTTTTAATCATCATAGTTTGAGGGTTAAAACTAAAATATCAGGCTGTTGGGACAAAGGTAGAAAAGATCAGCCACTCCTTTTCCAATGTGTCGTAGAGCACATCTCTGGGCCCAGATTTCTGTCTCTCACAGGGATATAACTCAAGTTCCTAAGGGCTTTCTGAACTTCCACAACCTACCTGGGAGCTGTCATCTTTCTTATGTCTTTCTTCTTACATTGATGTCTAAAATGATAGCTTTGCATTTTATATCACATCCTTCACTGGTAAAATATCCTTACCCTAAATGCTTCACTTGACTAGTGGAATAAAGATTAGATTTGGTTTTGAGAGTACTTAGATTGCATTCTGAGTTAATTAGATCATATGCCCAGGATGTATCTTTGTTAGCATGAGTTTATAAAATAAGTCCTTTCTAGCTGAATTCCATGCATGATTTAGCTGATTTGCCATTTTCATCATCTTCTGCATCAAAATTTATTACATCTGCA